AAAAGATACAAGTTATGGAAAAATCTGTTATACTTTCAAGAAGATGGGTGACAAATTTTCCAACAATATAGAGAAGAACAAAATGGCTCTAAATTTTAAGAAAACATTGAACTTAAGTGGTCTCTTTCTTTCCTCAAATAGTACCTTTTTTGGGGGGGGGGATCCTATGAATTTTAGAAAACACTCAAACTAAATTATCATAAATGTTTGAGCTCTAAAATTTGTTATACTAAAATTTGTTACATCAAACACTTATTGAATAAATGTCTGAGAATAACAGATGCGAGCATATTAAGTGACCTTTAGGTGGTAAAATAGAAGTTTTGAGAGCAAATAAATATTACTAGTTCTTTTTTGCTTCATCATCATTTCAAGGTCTTTGTTTCTCCCAGTAGCAAGATTTAAAGTTAAGTTTATATACAGACCATAGAATAAGACCTTGTTTCTTATATTTTTGCAATTCTTGTTGTCATGCCCATTCTATAAAGAAGAAAAAAATACATTACAGTGTATTACCAAAGTGCAACCTGTGCAAGCATCCCAATGACAGCTACTGGTCACTATTTCTATCATTACTACTTGATTATGCCACTGGCAAGCCCAAGGACTACTGTATCTGGGGAAAAGTAATCTAATGTATGTCTTCTAGGGATGCCTTCTAGGTTCCTCATAATGACTCCTAAGTACTATTTTCATTGTCTTATCCACCTGAAACTCTCTCTCATATGTGAAATCACTTGGAATTAAACAAGTGGTTAGCTAAAATCTACTCTGCGTGATTGGACCCAATTCAGACATTTTTAAGTGTATAAGATCCTTCATTCATTTTACCATTCTTGCCTCTGGGTGTGACACATTCACTTAATCCCTCAGTTCCCGAAGGTATGACAAGATCTATGGTCAAATATGACTAGTGGCTTTGTTTTTCTTAGTTTAAATTATTGCATGAGGAAAAGAATTGCTGTGGGTAACTCTTACATACATCACCTCAAAAGACCTTCCCGGATGTCACAAAATGAGAACTTTGACAAACAGAATGGGCATGACTAAATCCAGGAAGAAAAGCAGAGTGTGTGTGATTCTGATTTGGGCTGATGATCCTGGTTTACTCTTAGTCAGCAGAATTACTATATTTCTGGGAAGGATTGTTGATACATCAAATATGCAAAGAGGGATAGTGACATAGGACAACCTAAAGTTTAGATCTAAAAATTCATTTCTACAAATTCTGTTCTATTTCAATACAGAGAAATTCCAAAAATACCTGACTCCTGCTTTGCAAAATCGCCTTGCCACATAAATTTGTTTATTTCTGATCCACTCTAGGATTGGAAAAAGTAAAAAATAATTGATTCATTTTCTGGGAAGGGGATAGGTATTCTTTACAGTTTGTGGTGCAGCACAAAGTTGGAGCAGTTGTCTTTTAAATCTAGTTCTGAGAATTTATAGCTATGTGACCTTAACAATTTATTTAACATCTCTGTCCCTCAGTTCTCATATCTGTATACTAGTACAATAATACCTATCTAACAGGCTTTCCCGGGGGTATTTTCTGGAACAAAGTAAATGCTTGATAAATATTAGCTCCCTTCCAAGTGTTCTAAATTTACCCATATCCCTTCTACCTATGTAAGAATGATATTTAATACTGCTAAGAATTTATTGCTGAATCTTTTTTAAGAGCCTTCTGGAAACTAAATATTCCTTACATATTTTCTGTTAATGACATGGTGACATTATTAAAATACATGATCCCCTATCATTCCTATAGACATTCAACAATAAAAAAGTCAATATATTGACATTTACTTATAAATTTCTATATACCAGATTCCATGCAGGATCCTTATGATTCTAAGGCAATAAGGAAGAAATTTCAGTTTGAATTAAGGCTTTTTTGTAGAAAATAAATTAGTTTCCCATGAAACAAAGATTTTCTTGAATGCAGAGAGGAAGGGAAGGGAAGAGAGGGGAAAGGAAAAAAAGAGAAAGAGAGAGGAGAGATGGAAGAGAAGGGAAGAAGGAGGAAGGAGTAAAAAAGTTTGTGTCTTTTCTTTTTCCTTTCCTTCCTATCCCTGCTCTCTTCTCTCTCTCTCTTCCTTCCTACCACCTTCTTTCTGCTTATTGTGGAGAAGTAAAGAGCCACAGGAGGAGGATCATTGCCCCAGGAGTCCTCAGGAGCACCTGGCCATCTCAGCAGAGGTGTCAGCAACCAGCTGCCAGCAGCCAGTACCTCCCAAGTGAATGAGGCCCTTCTTGATTTTTCGGCAGTTTTGGTCCCTGTCTGACGAGGCTCACTAAAGTGAGCACAAGGAAGAGGAAGACAGCAGCCTCCAAGTTATCAAGTGTAGAGTTGACTTATTACACAGCCAAAGAGGATCAATGATACTCGGTAACAATTTAATGTGTTTGCAGTTTACCAACAACATTGTGTTTGAATTTTCTCAGATGACTAGGTAGTAAAACTGGGTAACATTCATGTATCTGATATTCAACAAATTATGTTATTCAAAATAAAAATTCTCAGGCCTGTAAAACTTTACAGTCTTCTTATGTTACAGCACCCAGGAAGATATTTCCTTTTAGCTCTTTCATCCTCTCCACTCATCCCCACCCTTACTCCATGCTTTACCTCTGGACAGTATTTAGCAAACACTCAATAAACATGAGTTCCAGAATCATTAAGGTCTGGATAATTCTTGTCAACTCAAGAGGTATACAGAAAACACATTTGTTTTCAACATTTATGGAAAATGTTTGTTCTCTAATATTTTAATTTGTTGACTAAGGTACTTTAACAGATGAATCCCAAGTTTTGGTACCCAAGGATCTTCTGTACCAATTGCTTTTATGACCAATTTGCAGATGATAGTTTATTTCCTTTATACTTGGAAGAAGGATTTGAAAGACATCTTTTCAAAATGTTCTATATAAAGCAGAGTTTATATATGTCTTAATTTTAATGGATAATAGTCCTCCAAGGTCTTTAAATATTTTATTTAAAATAGCTAACTGATAAGTTGTATTTTGGTCTTAGAAAAACTTGCTTGTTTCCTGAATGACTCTGCTACTTATAAGGTGACTTAAAGGGACAAAAAATAACACACACACACACACACACACACACACACACACACACTGAAAATGCAAGATTCAAAAAAGCCTGTCAAGTTATTTTAAAACCCAAGAACCTCTGGCATTTGCTTCTACTTTTAGCATTCATTTAAATTCTAATTTTTTTATGAGTTAGCTGCTTTTAATTGAATAACTTATTTTAAAATATATTTTACCCATTTTGGACAGTCAGTTTATGACTATCTATATTGTGTGTCTCATTATGGAAATGGAAGAAAATTGTAACAGAAATAGCAGTTAACAGCAGTAGTCAAAGTAATTGTAGTAGTGTCCAATTCATTTTTATCTCATTTTTTTTGCAAATATTTTAGGTCTTACTTTTTTAAAAAAGAGTTAAATGAATAACCTGAATGAGAATTTTATAATGCCTTGCATATAATAGATACTTAATTGATATTTCTTGAATAAAGAGAAACTAGTAAAAAGCTGCTTTACCTTAAATAAGCACTAAAAAGAAGTTGAAATTTTAATGAAATGAACTTTGTCAGTACTTCCTAATGAATCTTACTGATGATGTGTTTGTGTGTGTGACAAGACACATTTGTTGATTAATACTGATGTAATATTATTATGCTACATGTTCACACCTTTCCTGCTACCAATCAACTCAAGAAGTACCACTAATTCATAAGATGTTCCACACATTTTTCTCCAATGGATTAAGGATTGTTGAATAATCTAACTAAATAAACCACAAAAGAAGTTTGGGTAGAATTAAGTATGGAGAGAATAAAAATGTGTGGTGGGCCAATAAATATCATTAACAATATGTTTTGGAGGGTTGTGATGGGCAGAAAAAGAAGGAGAGCATAAAAAATGTTTAAATCCTTTGTGTTTCACTCATTGCTTTTGAAAGACAAGAGTAAGCTGTATAATGATCCCAACAGAATGATTCCACTTATAAAAAGGACTATGCCCATCGCTATGTATGTTTTAGCTATGTGTTATATATGCCTTTCTGTATATGTTTATGTGTATAAATAAATGTAGGTAGAATAGAAAACAAATGCCAAATTGTTAATGGTGGTTTCTGTAAGAGCAATAATATGGAGTTAACTATGAAGAGGAGCTTGAACATTTTATTCCACATATATGCACTGTATAGGAATTTTTTTACAACAGATTATGTTATCTTTGTTTGATTAAAAATAAATAGAAAAATGTACTGTTTCTTTCTCTAGGGTATACTCAGATGGTAAAAATAAGTAGCTTATTTTATAATTCAAAGGAGAATGAGTTTGCTTCTACTTTCTTAATGAAATTACAAAATGTAATTTATTCAGAAGGCAGAAAGAAACCCATCAACTAATATCTAAGGTGAGCCTTTGGTGGTAATTGGCTCATATTTTACCCACATACTTCAAACAAATCCTGACATTTTTCAATAGCCAAGACCAAAATATCTGCTTTATTTGCCATTTGGAAAGGGAAACAACTCTCTTTCTTCAGGGGCCACATGCTTATGTCTTCAGATGTCCACCAAATGTCTATTAAGCCTATAAACTATATCATAGGAGAGGCAGGTATATTGTTTCCCAGTTGAGACAAAGAAAAGACATGCAGTATTTTAATCTGGTTCTTACCTCCCTAAGTAGAGTGCTTATATGTATGTAAGGGATAAAAGTATTGAGAAAAGGAGAGTAGGGATGTGAAATGACTCATAAAATGCAACTAATTTAGCAGGAATTTTGATCTGTCTGATGTTTTCTGGGTGGTATGACTTAAGCATGCATTTATGGGTCTATCAGTACACACCCTCATTTCCCCTTTCCTAACTTCTTCCTCCTCACTGGTCTTGAGGCAGTCATATCAAAGACATCTGGAGGGCATATAAAGCCACTTAGCTGCAGACTTCTAGGCAGCAACGCACCTTCAGGCTGTGGTCTCCTGGCTCTGGAAACAGCTCTAGCTCTGTCTTCTGCACCATGAGCCTCAGACCCAGTGCCACCTCCTTCTGTACCAATACCAGAGGGGTTCGTGTCCTGCAGGTGTTGCTGCTGCTGTCACTGCTCCTGACTGTGCTGGTTCCCTCTACCACTGGACAACGCAAGAGAAATTTAGGGAAAGGTGAATCTAGAGCCTCTGCTGTCCAGCAGCTATAGCTATTCTGTTGCAGTTGTGCAGGGGGGACTTGAGGGGATGACTATCCTGGCCCTTCTAGGGCTAGCAAATGCCATTATACTAGTGACCCTAAGTGAAGGAGCTGAGCTTAGTAGGCATTACAGATGTGTTGTGCGATGTAATCTGCTAGCCATATTACTAAAGGTTTATCAATTATATGCCATTGTCTTATAGGAGAGGTTCAATTACCCTGAATTTACAAATAAAGAAACTAAGGAAAATAATCATGACCACTAATAGAGTTTTATGTTCCCTCATAGTCGAAAGTGTAGAACCTTATGTTGAACTGCGATGCATATGTGTGAAGACGATCTCTGGAATTCATCCGAGTAACATCCAAAATTTGGAAGTGATCAGACCAGGGGCCCACTGTGCCAAAGTTCAAGTGATGTAAGTTCCTGCTTCTGCGTCACTGCTTCATTAAGGAAGCCCTCCACCTCCTCATACCTACACTACTTTCTCCAGTCTCATGGATCTGTTCCCACCTAGGATACTCACAGATAATTGTGTTTTGTCTTGCAGAGCTACACTGAAGGATGGGAGGGAAATCTGTCTGGATCCAGAAGCTCCCAGAGTCAAGAAAATAATCCAGAAACTGTTGGAAAGTGATGAATCAGCTGCTTAATCTGTTTATTTTCTACCAACTCCTTTTTAATCTCCCAGGATGGGTAGGATTTTGAAGACTTGACATTCTAGAGTTATTAATTCGTATACTCATTTTTACTATACAAAAATTCAGGTACATTTTCCATTCTGTCTCCCAAATCCTACTTGACTCTGAGAACTTTGCTTAAAAAATGACATAAAGAAGATGAAAATAAGCAAGACTAACATATAATTTAAGGTTTACTCCCCAGTTTTTGGCTAAACACTGTACTTGCTTTGCATTTCTTTAGTTGAAAATTTCTTTCCAAATCATTTGTGTAATTTTATTTCTCTAATGTTATGTTCAATGTTCCTATGTTGATTAACAGATTTTACAATAGTCAATGACACTAGTGATCATGCAGAGCCAAGCATGGAATACTTGCTCAATAAATACTTTTTAAGTGTATTCAGGCAATAGAGATTTTCAATGTTTTTGTTCTAGATGGCTTGTTTAAAAGTATCCTTTGGAAACTTTTCTAATGTTTATTTTGCCTTGAAACTCTAAAAATAATAAAGTTGTAAAATGTAAGTCTTGTAAGCAATGGTTACTTACTTTAAAGGGAATACACTTAACACTAATAGAACAAGAAAACATAGGGTGAAGAAAGCCTTGACATTCTTTATTAAAAACATTCTTGCATTTCTTGAAACAGAAAAGAGAAAGTGATATATTTTATTTTATATTAAATGTTTTACTCTGGCATTTTGTATATATTTGCCTTAATGTATGCATAATTAAAATTTCAGTATTAGAATTGGACTTACAAATAAGTACAACAGAGAATATAAACTTGACTATTAATTGTTCTTTTTAAAATCAATATTCTTCCTCAATTTCTAAATCCATAAAATTTACACCCATGCTATTTTAACAGAAATATGAACATGAACCGAAGTGTTATTTATTTATTTATCATATATTATCAAATTACAGACTTGGAGAAAGAGTTTTAGTTCTCTCTCTCTCTCTCTCTCTCTCTCTCTCTCTCTCTCTCTCCCTCTCTCTCTCTTGTTTTTGTTTTACACTTTGGTATTTTACAATATTGCCAACAAAATTCACAAAGTTGATAATCTCTGGGATTTTTTCATGATATATTAATCAGAAACCACTAATAACTATTAAAATGCCAGACACAGTGTTTTACATACATTGATTCAATAGTTCTGACAAGATGGCAATGATCTGGTTAAGAGTCTTCTCTCTAGAGCCAGAATAATTAGGTAACCTGGCTCCCTTACTTGTTGGCTGTTTGACTTTGATTGGATTGCTTCCTCTCTCAGATGGTGATCATGTAATTGCCTATCTCAGAGAGCTGATGTGAGGAGTAAGAATTGTTAAATTCAACCTGCTTAAAACAATGCATGTCATACAAATAAATATTAGTAATTGTTTACTATTGTTAGTAGCAGTATGGCAAAGAAGAAATCTGAAGATGGCTCTGAAGAAATTCACACTGGGCTAGGGATGGAGTTTAGTGATAGAGGACATAGCCACCATGTATGAGGCTTGGAGTTTTAATCCTCAAAAATGAAAAAAAAAAAGAAAGATGGGGTGAGATAAAGAAAAAAAACTCACCCCAACATTAGATACTAAGTGAGCAGAGTGATCATAGTGAGGATTTGAAATCCTATTCTAACCCACTATACCATACCACTTTCCTTGATTCTTCTTTCTCTAACGAAATTATATTTCATAGTGTTGATGACACAGAAAATAGTATTTAATACACAAATACCATACTGTGTGTACAGTATTGATCATAGAAAAATAAATAAGTTCACCAATTCTGACCTATAAAGGGACTTTAGGAAACATTTACCTACTAAGAATGTAGTTCATTTCAACTTTGCTTTATTAAGGGCTCCTTATATTATCTCCTCACTGTCATAACTTCAGTGCCTTAAAATGTTTTGCCTATAAAATAAATACATTTATTATGTAATAGGTAACAAAAATATGCATAAGCGTGGCACAAAACTATAAATGGAGATTGAAGCCATTTTCATTAGTTTTTATCAAAAAATTAAAAGAAGCTTGGGCATCTCAGTCAATAGTGGTTTTCTACAAAAAGTTGGCAGGGCCATCTCATGAGATATGACACAGTGTTTGCACTATGTTTACATCTCCAAGATACACGGGCCATTTATTATTGTTGTATGGACACACTGAATTATTTTGTGTAAATGCATAGAAAGGATGACTTTATTGCCACTCACTATTGCCTGGATTCCTTTACTTTGAAATTATTAAAATCTGGGGATATGGTTATACAAATTCAATATTTTGCTTTACCATGTTCAAAACAATCCTTCCTCTCCATTCACTCTGCTGCTAACCCAAAAAGAGACTCAAGTTTCAATTCCATAAACACATATGATTTACGACATGTCATATAACAACCATTATATTAGATGTTGAATTTTCAAAAATATACGCCATGGAGAATTGCCCTTGAAGATCTCACTCACTGTTCAGTTAAGAGAGGCAGACATGTGGACAGAAGAGTAAACTATATGTGGCATATATCAGTATGGAGAGATCTGCTGCAATTGTACAAAGGAACACATTAATAAGTCAGAGCTTCATAATCATTTTCAACTTGTGTTGTTCATTCTCAGTGTAACTATATTTATTAGGCCCCTACCAGTGTACTAAAATAGTGATAAACATGACCTCTAACCTCCTAGAGCTTTCCATTGAGGCAAAAAAGAAAAAAAAAACATTTTAAACACTGATAAACACACTCCAACACATGCGTTTGAGCATACCATGTATATGTGTATTATGGGTGTGAAACAGGAAAGGCTGGGGGGCTGCAAGAGAGAACAACAAATGAGCATAATAGAGTGTCACTTCAGGCTCCTCTGAGGATGTTGTTATTTAAACCAATACCAAAAACATGAACAGAACTTAGCCAACTAAAAAGACAGGTTGTGAGAGAATAGGAGAAAGAACATTCCAGCCCCAGGGATTCAGTTTGCACTATGCACATTTCTGCAGATGTTCCATGCTGCAAAGCAGTTGGATGTCAGCTAATTCCATGCTGCAGTCACCTAATATCCTTCACCACTACTAATTTGTGTGACAGAGAGAATCCAGCATATACCAGATTTGGAATATGCATATACCTAGTGCTGATAACAGCCAAGCCATTCCTTTTCAAGAAAAGGAAGACAGTTCATGTTGATCTCTTCACCTTTCCTGTGTGGGACTCTGTGGCATACCTTCCACCCTTACCTCCACCTCATTTACACACTCAACTCCCAGACTCTGTATCCTCCTTCAGAGAACATTGTTGCTCCCCACCAGCAAAACAGCCCATCTCACCCTTCACTGGGACTGGGACACGTGGCCCACCAAACTCTCCTGTTCTCTCTTCTGGAATATTATCCGGGATGAAGACAAATCGAGAATCATTCAAGCTCCAATATTTTTTTAATCAAATACAATTTTTGTAATATATCTAAGATTATGAGTAATGAGGATAATTGACCTTGCTTCTTACAGTATATGGGAAGATGGTTAGTGAAGCTGGTAAATCTCATCCAAGAGACTGGAGAAGGCTTCCACATTCAGGTAAAATTCTGAAGACAGTCATTGCCTAGAGAATTAATTCCAGTTTTCAATAGCAGAAAACAATTACAAACATCACAGCTTTAACTACACAGTAGTAGCCAAACTCAACAGAAGTCAACCAGAAAGGCAGGGGTCTAAGGGCAGTTTTTGGTAATGCAGAAGCTAGTTAAGAAGGAAACAGAACTTGTCTGGGTCTCAAAGGTATACACTGTGTAAATTGCATAGTAACCACAGAGCGCTCTGTGATGCCACATAAAGAAAACATAGACCTAATAAGATTGAGCACTAGTGTTTTAAACTACATAAATGTGTGCATATTTCAGTTAGGGTAGGAGATGTGGCTCCTGCTGCCAACTTAAGGCCAAGAAAGCCCTTTTTTGGGTTGTTTTATTTAATCTTGCCTGGCTAGAGCCCAACTCTTCTGTGAAATGACTTAGCTTCCTCACCCCAGTTCCTCATTCCCCATCCCAGGTTTCCGGACTGGAGCAGCAGGAGGGATAAAAGAGGCGGGACGTCTCTGGAGCCGCGAACCTGGGAACCCTTGCCCCCACTTGCTCTGAGCACTGGGATCCTGCTGGAAACTCCAGGACATGGGCCTCATATTGCGCTCCTGCAGCCTCTGCCCCCATCTCTACCCTGGGCTGCTGCTCCTGGGGCTGTTGCTCCTATCAGCTGTGGTCACAGTCGTCAGGAGCGGTGAGAGCAGAAGCAAAGAGGGGAGGGACCGACCAACCAGAACAGTGGGAATTGGTTCCAGGAACCCCCGGGGGGCTGAGGAAGTGTCTTTAATGTTAATGGTTCCAGCTCTATTGTCCTGGGGTTGCGAAGTGTGAGGGCACTCTGCTAAACTCTGCACAAGTGCGCTGCCACTGAGTCAATATAACTTTCCTCTGGAAATGCAATTCGCTGCTAAGGAAATGATGACCAAGGGCAGGGGTGGGGGATGGGGCAGGGAGATTAGCTAGGTGCCTCTGGCCACTCCTGAAATCCCCCTCCCTCCCCTACTCCTGGCTCTTCACCTTTTCTGTCACCCTCAGAGGACCCTGAAGAAGATAGGGAGTTTCAGTGCATGTGTGCAAAGACCAGGTACAAAGTCAAAGTCAAGGACATCACCAACCTGGAGATGATCAAGCCAGGACCCCTCTGTGCCACCACCCAGATGATGTGAGTTCTGGCCTTGTATAGTTGGTACTGCCCTTTGTCCCTCTGTCCCCTCTTTCTGATCTTGTTTTGGAATGTAGGCACCAAAAGGTGCATCTCTTCTCTTTTTCCTGCAGAGCTACACTGAAGAGTGGGAGTAGAGTTTGCCTTGCAGGGCAAGTCTCCTTCTTTAAGGCATTAATTGGAAAACTCATGCAGAGGTAGTTTCTACCTGGCTAAATGTGTACTTTGCTATATAACATGTTTGGGTGTTACCCCCACCACACACATACACACACATTCGCTCTAACTAAAAAAGAATCTTCTAATGCTTATATTATCCTTCAAATCTTCAATAAACAAATAATATGAATCAAGGTGTTATTTCGTCAAAATATTGCTTCATAATATAGCAGAAAATAGTGATGTCATATCATTTTTTCTTACAAGAAAACACCTCCAGAATTTTAAGCAAAAAAAAATATTTTGAAGAAGGGTTTGTTTTATAAGAACTAAATTTGCTTGGTGCTACATGTTGGCTGATAGATATTTGCATGTTTAGGTGACTGCATTATTTCATAGATGCATATATACTGCATTTCTTAGCTTTGTTAATAATAGCATTTAATCATTACTAGTTTCCTAGGCGTTTTTTAATTAAGTAAATAAATCAGACCCTGATTTTATCCCATTAAGACTTAGACTCTACTACATTATTATTAAAAAATTAATACAAATAGAACTTGAAAAGAATAGTAAATGTGACTCTATTAATACTTTGGGAAACTGCGTTAAAATAGCTTAATCTTTATAAGGTTTTTGAAAGTGTTGATATTCCACAAAAATGAAAATCAAAAACAGTTTTTGTATTCATAATGCTGCCTACAATGGATCCCTATTTTGCAAACCTACCAGTTTGTTCTTATTATATTTACATGTTAGTATTCCTCTAAGCATGCAGATGTCTTGAATAGAATTTTTTTTCCCTAGGCATTTTCAGGTTGAGGAGTTGCCTTATTTGCAGTTCAGTATTCTCCCTTGCATTCCTTAAAATTAGAGGTTACATGTTAAACAGCCATGGAACCAGGAACAGTGCAAGCTGAAGTTTTCATTCACACTTTGGGAAGACACTACTGCACTTTGGGAGAAAAGAAGATGCTGCAACATGGGTATATTAGTTACCTATTGCTTGTGTAACAAATTCTCACAAACTCAGTGGCTTACACAACACAAATCTATTTCTCACAGTCCTGAAGGTCACAAATTCAAAATAAGACTACATGGGCTGAACTCAGCATGTCCTCAGGCTGAGTTCCTTCTGGCTTTAGAGGGCAGTCTTTCTCCTTACCTTTCTCAGCCTCTAGAAGCCACCTCCATTCCTTGGCTTGGGGCCCTTTCTTCCAAGTTTGAAGCTTATCATTCCAGCCTCAGCTTTTGTTGTCACATCTCCCCTGTCCTCTGACATTCTCTAATAAGGAGCTGTGGAACACATTGGGCCCAGTTGGATCAACCAGAATAACCTTACTATCTTAACATCCTAACACATGTGCCAAATTTTTTTTCTAGCCATATGAGGTAACCTAGTCATAGGTTTCAGGCATCAAGCCATGGGAATCTTAGTGGACATTATTCAGCCTACCACAATGGACAAGAAGGCAGAATCTAGTTGAGGCAGAAGGAAGCCACAGATGCTTTTTTAGGAACTAGGCACTTTCAACCTAAGGTGACAATGTTTATATAATGGTATGTTTAAACTCCTAAGGGAAATGAGACTATGATGTCATTCAGTCTCTTGGGAAAAAGGACACCTTAGGATGACAAATTAATTAAAATAGACACAATTTCTAGAGGCTTATAAAGTGCCAAAACATCATCTAAAATTTCTACACCCACATTGTGAGTTAGGTAATATAATCCCCATCACAGAGTTGAGGTAACTGTCTAGGAAAGGCCACGGCTTGTTAGAAGCTGTATAAATCAGTCTGGTTCCTATCTCCCTGCTCTGGGTTTCACATTGTGCATTCACACAAACAAGTAGCATGGTAGCCCATGCTTCAGAAAGGAATGAACCCATAAACTGGCTCTTGTAGATGGATTAGGGTTTGCTAGTGGGTCAAAGGGAAGAGTGGTACTACCACAACATGAAAAACTAGACAGAAAGATGCATGATTGTTAAGTCCTCGGCATATTTGGACAGAAGTTCATAGTTCTGCAGGGCTGCAGTCTATGGGGAAAGAGAGTGAACAATGGTCTCCTGTTTAGTTTTCATCCACTTGGTGCTTTTCCCTTCCTGTATAGCTTTCATGCATTCTTACCTAAATTATCTCTTAAAACACAGATATAATTATGGCACTTCCCTTCATAAAACAGAACTCAAAGCCCTTAGTATGGCTCTCAAGGCTGTGCTACATTCACTTTCCCTCTGTGCCTTGTTTCCTCATCCATGAAGTGGGAACAATCTGAGTATATGCTTCATGGTTACTGTGAGGACTAAAGAAGTGGCATCTGTAAAACATTTGGTGTAGTTCTTCATGCTTAAGAACACCAAATAATAATTCTTGCTATCAATAATGCTTCCAAAATACCATCTCAGTCGTTTTGGAGTGTTGTGTTTAGCAAAGCAATTTTTTGTGACAGATAGCAATACAGGGTCGCAATAGCACCAGTGTTCTTCAGATCAAATGAACTTTGTGGGAGAAAACGTTGTAAAGGAGATGAGAGTGGTATGATTTAATTTGTTCATTCCTCTTCTGCTGGCTGTCTCAAACAACACACTCAGTTGTATCCCATAACAGAGGTGAGTTAAAGGGACAAAGGGCCACAACAAATTTTTCCAAGTGAACCAGTGCTGGAATCTTGGGCCTCATATGCCTTTACTTCAGAATCACTGTGGTCTAACTATTCTGAGAACACTTTCAAGTTGCTGTCTTTATCAGCAAGGGCATTGAGAGAGGTCTTCCTTACCAGGAAAAGCCCAACACACACACAATTCCCTGTTGTTCAGCATTTATGGAGTAATAAGCTTGAGTGTACTTGAACTGTCCATCTACCCCTTCCCTCCCAAGCCTGGTGTTGGTTGAAGGCAGGCAGTGGGAAATGTCCACAAACTAGGCACTTACCTCCTGTCATGTCCCTATCAACAAAACAAAACCACCAAAAGATATTTTGTCCCCAGAAGTTGTTCTGTCATTTTTTAATCTTTGCTCTCTTTTTTCTTCTAAGACCTTTGTGATAACAGTTTCCTCTGTAATATGACGAACGTTGAAGGCTTACTTGAATTTAAAGATATATCCACAGTTTTCTCATTTTAAAGGATGTGATACTACAGATAATAGCACATAAAGAGAAAACAAATATTTTTCAAAAACTATAATTTCACCACTCAGAAGTATCCTTTTCCTTTTTCAAAGTACTGGTCATATGATATGGTTATAAGATGAACAGTTAAGTTTCAATTAAGTGTCATTTTTCTCACAGATTCATAAAAGAAACAGTAATTACTTGATTATATTTCAAGGAGTTAGGGAGCATTCCTCTCCCAATTTTATAGATAGAAAACCAAGTTCCAGTATAATAGAATAAGTTTTCTTTGGCCAGGGAATGAAGGGCAAATCCATGTGATCTAGTAATCTAGCATTCATTTATATCATTCATATGATATAAATATATATACTCTGACTGCATATATTCATTGTGTATTTATGTATGTATGTATATAGTTCCACATGTATACATCTATATACAGGTATGCTCACACAAGCTCACACACACATAAAAATTTCAAAATACAATACTTACACTTGTTTTATACTGTTAATCCTGGTATTTCATTTTCTGCACTATGCTATCCTACTTTTAAAAAATGTTAACCACAACTCTATAATTTCATGACTCACTGCTGGACATGGATGTTAGTATAAAAGCACTTTAATTAGAGTCAAGTTCTTATGTTACCTATTGAGTCCACACTATGGAGAAGGCACCTGGAGAGTCAGCAGGCATGAAATGAGCAGGGCCTGCTGCATAGTTCAATCTGCTTGGCCACGTATCCTCTTCCTTCATTCTCACCCCCGACCTGGGTTGGAATTCCCATGACAAGCAGTTTTTGACATAGAGATATTCCAACAAATAGGTGTCTATATGAGTGCTACCTCCTTGTCCTGTTATATTCACTGCCTGTTCCGCTTCAGCCATTATATTTGTTTCTAATGGGAACTTAATCAAGGGCAGAAAATACATTGCTTTTCAGGGGGCTTTGGAAAAAAACAAACATAATAATTTAGTGAGTTTAATAGTTTTATACTGATTTTTTTCTCCCCATATTTCTCTTTTTGTTATATTCTCTCATAAATGGTAACATTAGCCCAATGAGCTAATAATTTGAGTCTCCCCTTCTGTTATGGTTTGGATGTGAGGTGTGCCCCCAAAACTCACGCGTGAGACAATGCTCTTGAATTTCTCAGAGGAGAAATGATTAGGGTATAGGAGACTTAACCTAATCAGTGAATTAATCCCCTAATAGGGATTCACTGAGTGGTAATTGAAGTAGTAGGGTGTGACTGGAGTAGGTGGGAAATGGGGCATGGTTTTGTGAATGGAGTCTCTCTCTGCTTCCTGATCATTATGTGAGCTGCTTCTCTCTGCCACACTCTTCCCCCATGATGTCCAGTCTCACCTCTAGACCTGAGGAATGGAGCCTGCTGTCTGTGAATTGAGATCTCTGAAACTGTGGGTCCCCAAATAAACTTTCCCTCCTTTAAAGTTATTCTGGTTGGTTCTTTCAGTCTCAGCAGTGAAAAAGCTGACCAAAATGCCTTCAAAGCACATGTTGAAATTAAGTGCCACTGTGATGGTAATTGGGACACAGGAATAAGTGTTCCACTGTTTTGAATGGATCAATGCCATTGTGGCAGGAGTGGCTTAGTAATGGGGAGAGTGGGTTGTTGTAAAAATATACTCAACTTTTTTGGCTTTCTCTTGTTTCTGCCCTGGCCCTCTCTCATGGGCTTTCTCATCATGTCAATTCCACTGTCATGTTATGAAATAGCAATAAGCTTCTCATCATATGCAGCCCCTTGACCTTGGACTTTTCAACCTCCAATATTCTAAGAAATAGGTTTCTTCTATTTATAAGTTACCTACTTTGTGCTATTCAATTTCAGCAATACAAAATAGGATAAGACAACTCCTTTGGATTAAATCTTAATTTTGTTTCTGTGTGACCATTAGTGTACTCAGTTTCCTCATTTCCAAAACAAGGACTATGGTGGCCACCATGCAGGGTAACTAAAGGAGTAAATCACACTAATAGTAGGATCCAGCATGGGTTCTGATTCAGAATTGAAATCTTACAAGTGAAT